TACCACAGGGGGGCAATGTTAGCCAACAGAAATCCTTAGAAAGAACTCAAGAGATAAGTGCTATGTAATTGTTTTTCATTATCTTAGATTAATCAATGTAATTTAGAGGATACAAATCTTATTTTGGTTTTGTTGGTTTTTGTTTTGTTGATTTGGTTTTGTTCAGTATAAGTAGGTAGTAGCCATTCAGACCAACACTCCATACCAGTTGGTGGCGGTAATGCACCATTTCGTTCGGTGCCAACCGGCAGTAAAATCCCATAAAGAAGAAGAAGAATGTTTGCTAATGAATCCAAGCCAATAGCATGGGAAGTCCCATCCTTACACAGAGATCGTAGTGGCCTTACACAATCGTTCTGATCTGACAGACAAATGTGATTACCGGTAGGTCTGGTGGTAACCAGGCAACTTTAAAATAACAGAATTTCGTAGGCCTTCGTTGTTCTGAATTTCCCTTGAAATATATAATACTGGTAGCCTTCTTCCACTTAGCCTGCCTCAAATAAAATTTCTCTGTGATGGCAGAACTGTTTCCATAATTTTTTTTTACACTTTGTTTCGCAAGTCAGTTTGGCCAAGATTCCATTCTGTGTCTTTTTTTTCTTTCATATTGCCGTGCAGAAAAATTGCAGCTGCTGGAAGATGTCTGAATAATGTTCTGTATACCGTTACGGTAACTGTACTTTTTCAATACATGAACCTAGTATTTTATAGGTTCAAAGAGACACACAATCTCGTTTTTATTCATTCCTCTGGTAGTCTGTTTTGATCAAACAGAAATAGAGGCCTGCCTCCAATTCTGGCCTCCGTCCGTTAATGGCCTGGACCAAGATGTACCTGAGTGAAATAAAGGCCCCGTGCTATATTAGAGGATTTACGGTAAAAGAAAATGCATGCCCAAAAGAAGGCCAGTGGCTTGAAGGGGATTTTGCTGAGAGTCGCAGGGGAGTGGTTGCAATTCGGCTGGTGTTTGACTGGGAATGGCGATCTTGAATGGCTGCTACTGTATGAAAAATAGAAAGATCCTTAACATGTTTCTGTACCACGGGAGGGGAGAGAATGGATTTTGGTCCGGTTCCGTTGTGAGCAGCCTTATTGGGGAGTGTTGGCCTAGTGGTTATAGCAATGTGGGAGAGGTGTAACCTGAAGTCCAGACGGGTGTTTAATCTCTCATACATCAGACTTAGGTCCAGGGGAAGAGCGACATAAAAAAAATAAATTGGTAGACTTCAGCAGCCTGAAGATGTGATAACAGAGAGACGGACTGCAAGAAATTACATCTGTAATCCGATTCTCTGATATGAGAGTTGTAGTTCTGATCCAGGAAGTTGTAGTTCTGATCCAGGAAGTTGTAGTTCTGATCCAGGAAGTTGTAGGTCAGATCCATCACACTCACAATATTTTAGGCATACTAATTTCCGAGTAAACTCCAGATCTGTTTAAATTGGGAGTATTTCATTTATAATGCTCATACAGGATTTAGACTTTTTTGCTAAATTAATTTATCGTGCATGTTTAATTCAGAATTTTTGTTGAAAGCCACCGGCTAATGCTGCAAAGCTGAGGGGCAGACCCTTGGGGTAGGAAAAACAATGTGTCTCCTCTAGGATCAGTTTGTACAACAATCAAACCCAGAAAACATCCCATGAAGGGTTCAGATCAGGATCTTTGACTCACCAAGGTTCTGAACACCTTCCTATTGGAGGATTATAGCTCCTACATGTACCCTCAATTACACAAAGATGCTGACCACATAATGTCAACAGAATTGTGTGCTCACAGCAGGTGTGAAACGTGAACACATGCAGAACAATTATCATGATTAGACCTGTTATGATTCTTGGTTTCTTCTTTGTGTGTGTGTATTCATTTGGCATCAAGACAACAAATAATTTAACTACCTCCCAACATCACACACACATGAAGATGTCAACTATGTGGGTAGCTGGGGATGAAAGATCCTGGTTTAGTATCCAACCAGATTATCTCTTTTACAGTAAAGATATGTTTACTATGCTATTCTTTTTTTCTATAGCAGTAAGGTTTATCTAATGCTGCACTACACACGAGTAAGGGACATGTATCATATCTCCATGACCTTATCTTTACAGATACTTAGCAGCTTTTATTCTAGACAATATTATTTTCTCTATTTAATCCTGCTTATAAAGAGCACGGTATGCAGAACAACCACATTACTGATGCCTTTAAGATATCATATGAAAATAAAAAAGTTGTCCTGAAAACATGTTCTATTTTTCTCCTTCACCTAACATTGATCATAACTGAGAACACTATTCGCTTTATCGCATAATTTCATAAAACATCCAGCCTTTATTTCAGTGATTAAAAACGAGATATGTTTTGTCTTCTTTCTAAATAGGTTTTAATTGGGTTTTAATTGGTGATATAAGACAAAATAGGACGTTAGAAAATAAAGTTGAACTTCTTAGATAATTTTTGGTGTTTAAGGACATGAAAAAAAATCTGTATTTTTCAAAGATAGGCTTGGATGGAATTGTTACGAATAAGAAAAAGACCCAATTTGGTTTCCCTGTCTCAGTTTTGTTCATGAGTTTTGTTCCAATTGTGATGAAGGGCAGGTGTGATGAAGGGCATGTGTGATGAAGGGCATGTGTGATGAAGGGCGGGTGTGATGAAGGGTGGGTGTGATGAAGGGTGGGTGTGATGAAGAACAGGTGGGATGAAGGGCAGTTGTGATGAACCTGTGAACACAGGTTACTGAATAAAAAAGATTAATTAAANGCGCAGCCAGAGCAGCAAAGCTGCTTCAGCCGCGCGTCAGAACTAACTGGTACAAGCAGCAAAAATGAAGCAGCAGATGCGATTTTGCTTCTTTTGCTGCGTCCGGTGTGAACGCAGCAGTACCAAAGTCTAGCAAGCCCTTCCTAAAAGCTACTATCACTGAAGGTTTAAACAAAGATAATCAGACTTTCCTAATTTCTGGGGACAGTCTGCATTCTGGACCACCTGTCCATGAATAAAGCTGTCCCCAGAAATTTCCCAGATTTTACCGTGTTATGAATGAGGAGGTAAATGTTGTGTGTATACTATTATTAAGGTAGAAAAAGAATGTGTAAACAGGTTGCGCGCAGAAACAGCTGTTAGGCAGCTGGCTGACAGCTGTTAACGTATAGATGAAGAGCAGAGCATAACACTTTTAAATCAGACAAGGAAAAAGTGAAAGTTTTTTATCACAAACTTATTAAACAATTCAGCATCAAAATACTAATTCAACTTGCCAAGGCTAGATACCGTATGAAGTAGTAGGCATTCAAAATTTCCCCACTTTCCTTGATGGGCCCTTGGCTGGTCCCCAACAATGTGATTTTAAACACCATTCTTTGTACTAAAATATTCTTTTTCTCATGATTTGTGGACATTAAGATAAAATTAACATTAAAATATCAGTCTAAGCACAGGCTCCCCTCCTGAGCCCTCTGCTGTTCACCCTGATGACACATGACTGTGTCCATTTTTACTATTTTTCAAGGCTGCACTTTTAAAAAGATGAAATTGTCCAGTGAGCTGTTTCCAAAGGAAATTTGTTTTTGTTTTAGACTTGTGTAAACAAAATGACAAATAAAATCTGTCTAAAAGTCTAAAGAGAAGCTTCATCTCCTGATCAAACCCTGTAATTCAGTCGAAGGGTGGAGTCAGAGTACCGTAAATCCTCTAATATTGGCCTGTATTCCATTAGCGGCCGGGTCTCTAATATTGGCCGGGGTTTCTGTCTACGGAGGTAAATAATGGCCAGACTCGTAAACAGGCCGGGGCTATAATTAGGGCAGTCCTCAACAACTTGTGGTAGTAACATACAAATACCACAGGGGGGCAATGTTAGCCAACAGAAATCCTTAGAAAGAACTCAAGAGATAAGTGCTATGTAATTGTTTTTCATTATCTTAGATTAATCAATGTAATTGAGAGGATATGAATCTTATTTTTGTTTTGTTGGTTTTTGTTTTGTTGATTTGGTTTTGTTCAGTATAAGTAGGTAGTAGCCATTCAGACCAACACTCCATACCAGTTGGTGGCGGTAATGCATCATTATGTTCGGTGCCAACTGCCAGTAAAATCCCATAAAGAAGAAGAATGTTTGCTAACGAATCCAAGCCAATAGCATGGGAAGTCCCATCCTTACACAGAGATCGTAGTGGCCTTACACAATCGTTCTGATCTGAAAGACAATTGTAGTTACCGGTAGGTCTGGTGCTAACCAGGCAGCGTTAAAATAACAGAATTTCGTTGGCCTTCGTTGTTCTGAATTTCCCTTGAAATATACGATACTGGTAGCCTACTTCCACTTAGCCTGCCTCAAATAAAATTTCTCTGTGATGGCAGAACTGCTTCCATAATTTTTTTTAAAACTTTGTTTCGCAAGTCAGTTTGGCCAAGATTCCATTCTGTGTCTTTTTTTTTTTTTCGTATTGCCATCCAGAAACATTGCAGCTGCTGGAAGATGTCTGAATAATGTTCTGTACACCGTTATGGTAACTGTACTTTTTCAATACATGGACTTAGTATTTTATAGGTTCAAAGAGACACACAATCTTGTTTTTATTCATTCCTCTGGTAGTCTGTTTTGATCAAACAGAAATAGAGGCCTGCCTCCAATTCTGGCCTCCGTCCGTTAATGGCCTGGACCAAGATGTACCTGAGTGAAATAAAGGCCCCGTGCTATAATAGAGGATTTACGGTAAAAGAAAATGCATGCCCAG